ACCTCGACCAAACGTTCTCCGCTCTACGACGCGCAGGAGGCGGTCAACTCATCACTTGCCCGCGACCTAAACAAGAACACACGATACGGCATTCACCGCAGGCAGGCCGACACAGCACCCGATCTTACGCTCACGCGGACGTTGCTGTACCGGGCGGTTGAGTGATCGGTACTCGAAGATGCCTGGGGAAGCGATCATTACCCCATCGTAATCGAGCTACCGGTAGAGAATCGGAAACCACTAAAAAGGATCACCAAAAAGTTATTTGGAAAGATTTTAGGCGAGAGGTCCTCGAAAAAATATCGGATACGCTGACAGCGTTATCTCGACACTACTTCCAAAAGAGACGAATGACGAATTCGCTAGTCGTTTGGAAGCACACCCGGATCAGTAGACCGGATCTGAAATGTAGCACGCGATCCGAACGGAGTCGCTCCGCCTCCGGATCTCCAGTGGAACATGGCCACCCCTCCCGTATCGACGGATGCCTTCCCGTCACTCAGCTTCCCCAGAATTCCCTTCCCGTGGTCTCGAATCTCGAAGCACATGCTTTCGAAATCGCGGCGCCAAAACACATGTTCAATGCACGAGCGAAGTTAATCATTACGTGAAAGATGCGTGTCGATAAGCGATGGGCATCAGCGTAGCTGCGTAGACCATTTTCCCCTTCATCAAAATACTTGTGAACGGTGTCGAAGGACGTCTCGATTTTCGGCCTCTTCTGCGGAAGTCCGAAAAGGCAGTCGAATTCATGCGGGACATACAAGCAATCCTCGTTGTTGCTGCTGCTCGAGCCTCTGCTGCTGGGGTTGCTCTAGCAAACTGTCATCAAGCCGCAGCAGCAGTAAAGCTGGCGGCACTTCGCGAATGACCATTGCGAATTCTTCCGAGGCGAGAAGCCCGGCGAGAAAGGAAGTCACGTGTGCGCGCCGAGAGCTGACCAAGCTGGCTTCAAGACGAATCCGCCAAAATCGGCGGAGCGACTTTCCTTGTATCAGGATCGAGCTCTTGATTGGGAGCTGATTCAAACGGACGCGTGGAACAAGTTTGTCTCGATCCCCATCGCCCATGAAATAGGGTGCTCCATAAATGTCGATCCTGGTGCGCTCCAAAACGACCAGTGGACTTTGCCATACGAGAGCCAAGGATGAACGTCAAGTTAAGGCCGGGACGCGGACTCTAGACGCGAGAGTTTTCGCCCTCTGGGACGAGAGGACAGCCATGCTAGTGGAGTTCTGGAGGACCAGTAACCCCCCGGCCTCCCAGGTCGTCAACCGGCTGGCGGATGAGGCCCGTGCGTACGCCAAACCCATTAACCAGTCCAAGTGGCTCACATATTTCGAATCAGTCAACGAGAGAACCCATTTAGGAACGTTCTGGAGAACATTCAACGCAATATGCGCAGATGATCGAGCTTGGTATGTTTTGGCAGGCCGGCAATGGCCCGTCCAGCTTCGTTAAGCAACGAGTCCAGCTTGTCCCAGTGGCGTCTAGTGAGGCAATGAAATTGTAGTCCGTACTTTCGAGATCAGAACCAACTCTACTAGGAGCTTTGCCACTCGCGGGTCCCTACCGCCCATGCGCTGCGGAATGCGTCGGACGAGTTGAAGGCGCTTATTCAACAACTTGGTGCCGATTTGGAGCCATTGATTGGGGTTGTTGCTTCTCTGAAGGTGGGCGCCAAGCACCCCGAGCTTTTTGGCCCTATAGATTGATGATTCTTCGAAAGGAGTCGTAGGGCCTGAATTGGTTTCCTTTGCCAAAGATAATATACTTGGCTTTTTCAGGTGACGGGCGAAGCCCTACATCCCCGAGGTGGTTCTCGATGACTTTGAGGCCCTTCTGTGGGACGATCTGTTATTTTGAGAGGGTTTTTTTCTCCTGTCCACACAGTGGTGTCGTCGGAGTACCCAGTGAAGTGCAGGCCTTCTACTTTACGTAGTTTCCACAGAAGTGGCGCCATCGCCAGATTAAACACGACCGGCAACAGGACCGAGCCCAGTGTGACGCCAGCGCCATTAAGATGCCTAGAGCTGGTGTTACAGCTAACCTTGATGTCCTAGCACCTCTCCTTGAGAAACGACTTAACTAAGTCAAGCAGTCTGCCGCCAATTCCTTGGTTCCAGAAAGATTGGATCACGGCTTCGCGGAGAATGGAGTCAAACTTCGCATCTTGCGGCGTGTTTAGGAGCATGCTCGCGTTAATACCGTGAGGGCAGGGGGCACTTTTGACATTGCTCTGCTCCATATCGGCCTCGAGTTCCAGGGTTGTAAAGTACCTAGGTACAAGTAACTGGAAATCGGTATCTAGGTACTTTTGTTGTACCTGAGGAACAAACCTAGGAACTTTAATTTCTCGGTATCTGTATTTGTATCTTAGGTACATTTTCCAGTAACTTGTAACTAAGTGAAGCTACTTTTTACAGGTACTTCTCTATTCACTTCATCAAAATGGGAGAAACTGTAAATCTTGAAGTATTAACCCACTACCATGTGCCGTGATTAGCATTGAGTTGGGTACGGCATTGGAGGCACTGACTTGATCGAAAGACGTTTTGCAAACGAAGCCCCGCCTATGATGTTTCATCGAACGACACACTTTAGTGAATGTAGGTGTTTATTTGAGCGAACGGTGAATTAGCGATGCCGTTCTAGCGACACCAATTTATTTATGCGCTTCGGAACTCCGTTTAGGAAAAATAGCGACCTGCTTCCTTCATCTCAAACTAAAATCGACTTCATTGCAAGTTTGAAGTTCCTCTGACAGCTATACAAGGAAGGAGATAACTTAAACGATGTGCGCAGTTTCTGTTGCCCGTATCTTGTCCTGATGGTGGCACTGTTCTGCCATAAATACAGTATAAAATATAATTACAAATAAATTATAATTACAATTATAAAGCAATGTAACATTGCATATATAATACAGTTTCCACTCAATAAATTGGACTTAAATTTTGCAGCTATCAAAACGGAGAAAGTTCCGAAAGAAGAAAGAAAAAACAAAACAAAACCCCCCCCAAAAAAAACTCATTTTTCAACTGACTAACGAAAGAAAAATAAAACAAGGAAGCTTGAAGCCTTTCGCTCGTCGTCGCGAAAGTTAGGTGCATATGCACTCGACTCATGCGTTTCTTCATGCGGCCGACGTCTTCTGGGCCCGTTGGCGTCAGCACCGGCGCGAGGACAAGAACGTCAATAAGCGAGTTTCGGCGGTTTCGGTGTGACATGGTAAACAGTGGAAGCTGTGGCCTCGGTGAACCAATTGGAGCGTGGGGACAAGGCACGTGAGGACTCAACACTGATGTGGACATCGCATTGGCACCAATAAAGCACAGTTATCGAACTCGTTTTTTAGTGTATCCTTAGTATAAAAAGCTCTACTCCCAATATATTTTTACAAATTTGGGGAGGATAAATAAAGACAGTATCTTTAGAGTAACTGTACCTGTACCTAGGTACATCTTTAAGCAAGTACCTAGGTGCATACCTAAGTACCTTTTCATAGGAGTAACTGTAACTGTATCTTAGGTACATTTTTTAAGTAACTTTTACAACCCTGTCGAGTTCCCACGAGATAAACAGGGTGTCGCTCTTCGGTCTCCAACCGTTCGGGACCTTACATGCCTTGCCTTGGTGTCTCTTAATTATGTGGGAAGAACACGGGGCCCTTCGAAAAATTCCTCGATCACCTTGTCCAAGTCCATGGCAATGTGGGGAACGGTGTTCTTCGACCTTCCCGAACATATATGAGTTACATTTTCGGAATTTCGCGACAACATCGCCAAACAACTGGATATACACCAGGCGAGACTGGTACATACGCCACAGGGTAGGGCCCTTGTGAAACTCATGGTCCAAACTACGGAACACCTTCCCAATATCCCGAACCCGCAGCCGCCGTATGAACTGATTGATGTCGCGCAGTGGACTGCTATTCCCTATAAATGTAGGACCCAAGCACAAGGAACGGAGATGCAAATTCGCCAACAGGCACTCCAAGTGGATACTTTTCTCAAAGACCCGGAAGCCCCCATCGTCTACACTGACGCGTCGACAGAGCTCGTCGGTTCTGCCATCGCCTTCCACGATATAGGTGGCGAAACAGAAACGATCACGTCCAGAGCCCGCTCAAAAAAAAACAGGCCCGATGTCAAGCCGTTCGAGCGGCGCTGATGCACGTTCTGGAGATCGGCAACCTACGCATAAAGGTGTACTTCTTCACAGACCCGTAAGACACGATCCACTCTTCTCAGGAGAACCACACCACGTGTCCCGCCGACAGCGGAATCTTCGACGCGGCCCTTGAACTTCATCGCCGCCACGGCGCGCCAGTTAGCGTCCGCGGGATCCCGGGTCGCGCGGGGATCTGGGCCAACGAGACCGCCCACCTTGCTGCAGAGTAGCTCTCTCACTTCCTCCATTCGTGCAACAGGAACTATCCCGATCGCGCGCTCGCAGGCCTTAGTAACGACTAAAGCTTCGATGAAGACAGGAAAGAGCACCACCCCGAAGCCTCACCTCGACATATTTGAAAGACACGGGCCAAGCAGCTCGAGTCCTGCCTCAGAACAGGAACCCAACCCCTTTCCAAAAGGTTTCAAAAGATACCAGGCGGTTCTGCTAAGACACATGCTAGACGGCGGCGCGATGACAACTCATCTCTCGCAACTGTGGGAGACCGTAAAGAAAGCAAAACAGGATCCCCACTACGTACCCCCCGAACCAAGATGCCAATGCTGCGACGAGCCTGTCTTATATAAACTTAGTCACATCCTGTAAGCATTTAAGACTCACTATACTCCCTTGGACAAGTTGCGAAGACCTGGCCCCCGAAGACCGGCCCGGAGACCTAGAATCCTGAACCAAGCTGACGGGAGACTCCGATAGTACGGTAAAAGTGGGCACTGGGCACTGGGCTCAACTGGGCACATTAATTGGAGTGAATAGAAAGCGAATGATTCGTTCTCATTCACACAAGTAGAGTATCTAAAACTTACGTTGCATTTCCCTAACTTGTACAAACTGCATGGGGAGCTCATAGTTCCTAAATAGTCGTGTGGCAGTGGATATAACAGGGAATAAGGTACATCTCTCCAACATCCGAAGTTGCTTCCGGGCACTTCTCTGGAACATACAGAAGTTATTGCGGAACGTTACCACAAAGTTATGTAAACGAGTCACAACAAAACAAAATCATATTTGTGCGCTATTTTAGATGCGATCACATTTATGAGTGATTTGTATGGGGTCATTACTCCCTGCCAAAGGAGATGCGGCATTTCTCGCATGTCTGGGATACGTACGAAAATATTAATTATTATAAAGAAGCGTCGGAACTATATATATATATATATACCGGGTGCTTTTGCGAAGACTTTCAGAAATCCTAAAAATTAGGGCGTTTGAAAAAAGAAGAAACTGTCTTCGGGAACAAACTACCAGCCACGGCGGACGTCAGGGATTGCCAAAAACATACTAATTAGCCAGCTAATTAATTAAAATTTGTTAATCAACTTTTTAATTAGGGGAAATAGACATATGGTTCCAATTAGAAAGTTGCTGAGCGTTATTGAAAACCACTAAATCAGTCGTTTTCAGAAAGACTTTGAGCGCGTGAGAAGCGTAGTAGTGCACTAAAGTTACCGCTCTTTGAGCAGGTACAAAGCTAGTGGTTGCGATAAGGCGCCCGCGCGATTTTTCCGTCTCTTATCTAGCCCTAGCCTTGTACCTGCTCCACGAGTGGTAACTTTAGTACAATACTACGATTCACACGCGCCGAAAGTCTTTTTCAAAATGACTGATTTGGTGGTTTTCGATAACGCTCAGCAACTTTCTAATTAGAATCATATCTCTATTTCCACTAATTAAAAAGTTAATTAACAAATTTTAATTAATTAGTTGGCTAATTACTATGTTTTTGGCAATTCCTGACGTCCGCCGTGACTGGTAGTTTGTTCCCGAAGAAAGTTTTTTTCTTTTTTTGACGCTTTAATTTTTAGGATTTTTGAAAGTCTTCGCAGAAACACCCGGTATATATATAGAAGAAGAAAAGAACCTTTAGTGAAAACAGCAACAACGGACGATTTATTTTTCGACGTTTCGGCCGGAGTCCGGCCTTCGTCAGGAAGTCTTCCTGACGAACGCCGGACTCCGGCCGAAACGTCGAAGATTAAATTGTCCGTTGTTGCTGTTTTCACTAAGGGTTCTTTTCTTCTTCTGTACCCACGCCTTCGGCCCCAGCCACCATGCCCCGTTGTATATATATATATATATATATATAATGACATCTTGGGGCTAAGTAGGCTGTAGGCGTATTTTTTATAAAAGTAGAAGCCACCGAGGGTCAAACAAACTTGGAAGGTTTAATTCAACATGTATAAGTCATACGAAAACCGCGACGTTTTCGAAGGGGGACCTTTCTCCCCAAATTTCTGGATTTGCATAAACCTAATGCAGTTAAAAAAAAAAAAAAAAACATTGTAAAAAACGGTTGCTTACCACGTAAATTTAGGAGGGCGCCCAAATAAGAGTATGGGCTATCTTAGACTAAAATACAAAACACTGAAGGATATCATTATGAGACAGCCTTGTCTGGTTGTGTCTTAATTAAATGACGAAATCTTCAGTTTATGCAGAAATGGAGCAAGAAAAAAACAGCGTAGGCAATGGTGCCCGCAACTCTCGAAATAGCCAAAACTTTAATCCACCTGATATGTTCAACTTATAAAGATATTGAATATGTGCTTTTTTTGCTGCTGAGAAGTTAATTTTTTAGAAATGAGCCCCTCCGACCACGCCTCCAGGTGCTCGCCAAGCTGACGACACACGCCGGTGTTCGTGACCGAGGTGTCAACGGTGTGGGACGGCGCTGCAAGGTCTTTAACGTTCTCCCGAAAGCACTCTTTATTCAGTTAAAGTAGATGTTATCCTCACTTCCGTGCAACCGTATCCTCTTTACGTTACTTAAAGATGCTCGCGTCTTAATTTTACTCTACTCCTGCCCAGGTAACTGCCAACGATCGCAGGTCCGCATCGTCTGCTTCTCGACTCGTAAGACTAGATGGATGAATTCATACGTTTATCGCACTGAGGAAAGATCGACTATGATGCTATCTGGCAGGCTGTTCGACGCAGCGTTTCGTCAAAGACGAGATACACGGGCCTCTCTAGTATGTTTTCCACTTGTTTCAACTTTCTAACAATATACATATAATAAAGTAGAGCGGTGATTTCAGACAAGATTGACCAAAGGGTGGCTGGTCAACATTTTTAAATCAACTGACGTTCTTATATGCCATTTTCTAGGGCCTGGTATAAACGAATCTACACTTAGTTTTTACCGAAAAAAAAAAGGGGGAGAGGAGTCGTGCGGCGTGATGAGGTGAACAGTTCCATTAACGCGCACTTGAAAGTGAATAACTAAAACGATAAAATTAGGAGAATTTTAATACTGTTTAGGAACAAACTATGGGCACAGCTTCCTTGTAATATACAGCAATATTATTTATTTATTTCGTATATATTTTTTCAAAAAATTACCGATCCTGCCTGCTCGAACGACCATTGGCAACAATAGTGACAGATGGGCCAGTTGGTACATGACTTATTTTGACAAAATGCGACGCAATACAGGGACAGAGTGGGTAAGACAACACTGAAAAGCAAAATTTCGAGAGATATGTTCGAGTCATTTAACATTAGAATGCAGGGAGAGGACAGATGCATAAGTGCCCCGTCAGCGCATATAACAGACTAGTAATTCGAATTCTTACTCGAGAAGCCCGATCGGGTATATAGTGTGTTGTTTCAATAAACATTCAGTTGAAATAGCGCTTCGTGCTGTCTTATCTACCCTGTCCCTGTCTTGCGGCGCATTTTGTCAAAATAAGACAAATGGAAAAATGTGGAGGCATTTATCTCAGGAAATAATTTAATCACCATCATATACGCTTTAAATAGTATTCTACTTATATATCGCTATTATGTATTATGTATATTAGGTACCTGAGTTATACGATAGCCTTGATATATTTAGGCAAACATGGGGAAAAATAAATCAACGAAATATTTTTCAATAAAAATTAAAAAAAGAACTGTTTCGATTTTTTCTTTAATTTGGGTACCCTCTTATACTTTATTCCGGCATTCATTCCTATTAAAACATGTTGCATTATGTGATTGAGAAAGAAGACATAACTCCCCAAAGTACGGTCCTTTTTCAAAGCCTACACTTAGCAGTGCCCTATACGAGAAGTGACTCCAAGTTCCAGTTTCAGGAAACTAAATCACATATTTTATATATTTTTATTCATATGAGGTTATTGACAACTAGAGAAATGGGTCAAACAGTAAAAGTGAGGAGAAACTATTTACAGCATTTTACATGCAGCGTACAAAGAGGAATCAATTAGAGACTAGTGACTTGAGAAAAGATGATGCAGTGCGAAGCTTTACATTCTGGTATATTTTATATGTAGAATAAAATAAATAACTTTACTTCCACAGACATAAATAAAGATAGAATGATAAAATTGTTTAGGTTAGCTATGTATTTCCGGGGACAAACCATTCCAGGTGAGGTGTGCCACCGCGCCGGACTGTAGCAGCTTCGATACTCTCGGCGTACGAATGGATCGTGGCAAAACAATATATTTTATCCTGCGCGAGGATTACGTTTCCTGATTCTCGTATGGTGACGAGATAAAGAATATAAGCAATCACCAAGTAAAACAGTAGGTTAAATACCCTGCGAAGAAAAGTGTAATAAATTAGATGTCCCGGCATTCAAAATGGGCAGCCCTTGGGGAATCAAGTTCGGCACTTTACGCTAAGGCCTTCATCAATGTACCCATTTAATCAAGTTTCTTCTAACCAGATCCGACTGTCCGTGCTACATATATGTCACAGGTTCCTTCTGTTGATGACTTGCACAGTCGCTACGTGTGAGACTGAATGCCAGGTAATTGCGCACCGCCAGCCACTATTTTTTTTTTTACGATACCGAATAATTTTCTTTTTCTCCAGATACACAATATGCGCGACTTTCGGTTTCTCGGATAGAACGCTCACCATCGTCCTGACTTCTGAAGTGCGTTTATTGAACATTCTCTCAGGATGTTCAGCGTGGCTTGGTGCTTCACGAGTCCGCCCACTCCATCGCATGCATTTTCCCTTGTCCAGATGCAGAAAATAACCACTGGGCTTCTGGGCAATCGTTCTTTGTAAACTGGTGAAGCTGGTAGCAATTCTTAAAATGACTGGCAGCCCCGTCACTTACGTACGTCACGTGCGCGTATACCGCAACGTTGTCTTCAACCAACTCTCACTTTTCCTAGAGCCAAGCACGTGCGAGCGTCGTCGTCAAACATGTCCTCACTGATGATAGTGAGGCTGTCGGTTGCTTTTCTTGTCGTCACTACAGATGTAGATTTCGTAACTTTTTTTTCCCAGTGATATGCTTGAACTTTGTCAGGAAGCTCGATGGTCTAGTTTTTAGCAAAGTCAAAATGAAAGACAATGCTCCCGCTTTTCAGGCACTGCTTTTCATCGTAGATCGCTTTATCTTGCGTTTGTCGTATATGGTTGTGAAATATTAAACTTTCAACCGCTACTTGTTCCACTTTGAGGAAAGCCTCAGGATGTAATGTTTGTTTTTCACAAGGTCGTCGGATGTTGTAAGCACAATATCTTCATCCTCTGGGGTATGAAGCTCCTCTAGTGTAAGAGACTGGCGTTCTGGGCAGGGATCACAGTCTACCTAAAGACACAGACCTGTTAGTGGGTCGCACAGAAATGCTGAGTTCGTTTCACCGCTGTTCAATGTTGAGCCTGTAACGTTCTGTAGAGCGGCAATATAAATGTAATAATTGGAGCAGCGCACACAAACGCACACTTCCATTTCCTGGTGTGGAATACATTTGACCCATCTAGGGTGCGAGAAATACAATTTCGTTAGCCCAATGCCGGAATCAGGGCGCTTATATTTGTATACACGAAAGGCCACTCGAATTGAGCGTGTCGGGAAGCGCTTTGGCACGAACGGTTTCTCCCCGTCGAGCATGACAGAGATCACGCCCTTCTGGTTGGGACCTTGGCACGAACATTTTAGCTTGTATTTCATAAAGTACTCTAGGGCGGCAGACACGTCCTCAGGGCTCACCTTGCACCTCCTGTAAGGATCCGGCTCATACCACACGGCGTGCTTTTCCTTACCTAGAGCGTAAACACTGATGCCATGTTATCCTTTCCTAGGTTAACACGGCTACAGTGTTTATGCTCTATTGCAGTGGTTCTCAAATGGGGGTCCACGAACCCAGCATCATCACTCAAGCCTGGCAATAAAAGCTGTATTTTCTCAGATTGAGAGGAAATGTTCCAATTTTCTGATACGTTTTTTTCGTGTATATGTCAATAAAGCGAGTCTACTTCACACAAGCCCTTAGTTACATCCGTTTATTAAATCCCTTTCATAATTGCCCTACACATTTTTATTCCCCTTCCCCAGACTGGTGTCCTGCATCATCTCCGCCGATTCACGAGGGGTCAGCAAACTATCAAAGGTTGAGATCCACTGCTCTATTGTGTTGAGTTGGGGCTCGAGTATTTGGGGATTCTGCTGTCTGTCGGTGGGCCCCTTTGTGCCTGATATTATCGCCCGTGACGCCAATGAGTGGGGTGGCGACAGGCACGACTGCTCTGTAACCATGCATCGGCAGTCATATTCTGCTGTTTGAAGCGAACCCCCTTATCCTTGACAGCAAGCGGGGAGATGCGAAAAAAGATTTTAGTGGCCGTTTTGCCAGACCTAGCGACGAATGTCGTCTGCTACTTCCGTCAGCTATTGAGCCATAATCGTGATCTTCGCTAGGAAAAGATTGTTGCTAGCCACATAACAGTATCACGCAGAAAGGGAATGCTTGAATATATTTTTATTCTAGGTATAAGTAAGGGAGATATATAAGAAAGAGAGAGATAGAGGTAGAGGAGAAGAGAGAGGAGCATATGGTGTTGTAGGCTATCATAAAGAGCTATCGTAATATGATATCTCTTAGTACACTATAGTTTCTTCTCATTTTTGATGTATGAACAGTTATCAAGAGCCTCATCTGAATAAATATATATAAAAGATGTCTGTTAGTTTCATGAAAATGGAACTTAGTCACTTCTTGTATAGAGCACTTCTACGTTTAGGCTTTGAAAAAGAACCGTACTTTAGGGAGTTATGCCCTCTTTCTCAATAAAAAAATGTAACATGTTTTTTTAATAAATAGAATGCCGAAATAGAGTGGTGTTTTTTTTCCGCCTCTAACGTTTTGATTGTTTGCTTTTTCCCCATTTTTGCCTAAATATATCACAACTATGGTGTCACTCAGATACCTACTATGTATTTTAAATAATAGGCATTATAATGGAAATAATATTTGAAATAATATCATGGTGATTAAATAATTTCATGAGATACAGGCCTCCAAATTTTGACAATTGTCGTTCGAGCAGGCTAGTTTGGTAATTCTTAGAAAACAAATATAGTATAAATACATATAGTTACTATAGATTACAAGCAAGTAGTACCCACAGTTTGTTTCTAAAAAATATTATGATTATCATAAATTTATCGTTTTAGTTATTCACTTTCAAACGTGCCCACTCCGTCAGTGCGCGTTAATGCAACTGTCCACCTCTTCATCACTTACGATTTTTCCTGACCCCAAATATTTTTTGGTAAAAACTAAGTTTAGATTTGTTTATACCAGACACTAGACACTAGGCATATAAAAAATCAGTTGATTTAAAAATGTAGACCGCTACCCTTTGGTCGATCCTCTCTGAAATCACCCAGAAACATTTCAATTGCACTAAAGGCAAAGGTCTATGGATTGAATTATGCTACAAATAGCTGACGAAATTCACCCGCCGTCATGTTTGCTTTGCGCACGATGTAGGAACCACTGTGCTGATGCCACGCGCAGAGCAAAAGTTGACACACAAAGTTGGACTATATTTCGCAGCATATTCGCACCATGGAGTCCAGGCTTAACGCTGCAACAAAACTCGTTCGCAGGTAGTGGGAGGCCGATCCGCGTGTAGTAAACAGATAGATCATGAAATTATGTGAATTCATTTTAAATGTGATAATATATTCCATAGACGTCAAGGAAATATTTTTAACGATCTCACAACATCTTCTACGCAGTTCAATAAAGAAACGTTCACTGAGCACAAGAATGTGCGATATGCTTTGCAGTTGAACGAAAATCTGCGCAACGATCTTGACGACATTTGTTTAAATCAAAAGATACATTTTTTCTACAAAATGTGTTCTTCAAATATTTAAGAAGGCCTTTTATTGTTCACAAATATCGATCAACTGTGATTTCTCAAAAAAGATTACGGGACTTTATGTATTTAGATAATCTATCACCAATTGTTTTGATACTTTTCGAATGAAGAATTTTCAACAGACTTACGTTTTCTTTTCAAGTAGCGTTCTAATGGCCAATCTCCCTTTAAGATGGACGCCATATAGAAAGCCTACACCCGGGGGGCTCATAAGAGATTTATAATATCCAGAAGAAGTTTGTAGTGGGGCGTCCAGCCTGCAGGCAAGTGATAAAAAAGGTACCAAAATACACATGATGTTAGTAAACCACGGATGTTTGTAACAAGTATATTTATAACAATAAACTACTGAATAAAACCCAAGATTTTTATAAGGAAGATAATTGTATGCCAAACTGGAGAGACAACGTACTCATGATATGTTTTTTAGGATCATCGCCAAAAAGGCATTCGTCACCTAAAAACTAGTGTTCACATTGTCGGCCTGATTTACTTTAGAAAGGTACGCTCAATATATCAGGAATTTTCAATGCAAGAATTGTTAAGCAGAGCTACCACGGTAAAATAATAATAACATAGATTGGGGTAAGGAGGCGTAAAGCGGGGCTAATATAACGATAAGTTCAATACTATATGTTAAATATGAAATAAAAAAAACAAAAGCTGACTTATCGCCATTTGCTTCATTCATTCACATACAGCGATGATTTTGGATGCAGGTCCCAGGCAGCAGAAAGTTCTGGACCAAACTTTGGCTTTTGTCTGGGAGTTTAGGGCCTTGAAAAGCCCGAAGTAGTCAAAGAAGAGCCAAACCTGACCTTCCTTTTCAAAAGTGGGTATTTTGGCCCTAATTCGCCAAACAAGTGCCAAACTTAGGCTTCACTGCCTGATACTTCGGCTATCTGGCATTTTTGGACCTAAATCGCCTAACAAATGACAAAGTTAGGCTTCACTTTTTATTAGGGGTCGGCGAATATTCGAAATTCCTAATACGATTCGAATATTAGATGTTTAATATTCGTATTTGATTTGTAAACTAAGTCTTTCGAATTTTTCGAAAATTCGTCGTAACACGAATATTCGATTAGAACGTGTTCGCAAGCGTAAGTTTTGCTTTTGGCTTCGGTTTCGGTAGTCCGGGCCCATTGACAGCGACATAGCTGCATGGAGGCTTCAACATAAGCTGGTGGCGCCGGTGACGGTAGCGGTCATCTGCAATTTTTTGTTCCCTTGAGACTCCTCACTTTTTAAACTGCTCACATTTGCGTTCGCCCACCCGTGTTCTGGCAGATGGAGGTGTTTGCGGGGAACCGTACGCGAAGCGGAGAAACAAAAGGGAAACGGCGCCAAAAAGAAGAGAGAGAGAGAGTGCTTTTTGGAAATATATAATATAAATCTGAAAGTTCATCCTGCGTTGTTGAAAGAGTATCGTGGGATGACCGCTGGTACGCCAGGAAAAGATCAACCGACGCTGACGGACTTAGTGCGCCGCTCGGAGCCCCTGCCAGAAAAGAGTGTGCGAGCGCTAAATAACAAGGTGGCCGCCATGGTGGCCCTTGATTTATAGCCTTAGAGCCTTGTGGAAGACCGCGGCTTCAAAGAACTTCTGACAGAAGCCATTTCCAACTATCGTTGACCGTCCCACTCTACACTCTCGCGCGTGCTTGTGCCACGCATGTATGACGACACCCGAAAGAAGGTTTAAGCAGAGCTCAACAGTGCTTTTGAAGGCCGCAATACCGCTGTTGCCTTCACAAGCGGCATGCGGACATCGCGCGCTAACGAAAGTTACGTGAGCTTCCCCTGCCATCTTCTTACTCCAAAATTCATGAGGAAGTGGTTCGCGTTGAACACTCAACACATGGTTGCCAATCACAGCGCTGTGAACATTGCAACCGTGCTGGACGAACTGTACCGTGACTGGGTGATACCCAATGAACGTGCGAAGTTCTTCGTAACGGATAACGGGCGCAACATCAGTGCTGCGGTGAGGAGACTTCCGTAGACTGAAAGAGCGTGCTCCGCGCATACGCTTCTGGCGATTAATGGAGCGAGATCCCGTTCGCCGGCCATTGATCGCCTGTGCAAGAAAGCGAGGCATGTTGTAGGATTACAAGCACAGTTCATCAGCTCAGAAAAGGCTTGAGGAGTGCCAAAAGAAGACGGAAAAGGATACACTACGTCTGTAGCAAAACGTGGAGACGAGATGGAATAGCCAGTATCTAATGTTGTCTCGCCTTCTGGAACTCAAAGAAGCAGTCACCCTGGAGCATGCTACCTCGGACATTGACATCGATGAATTTGGTTCATCAGAGTGGAAACATGCTTCTGAATATGTACAAGCATTGGCCACTGTTTGATGCCACTGTTTTTGCCACTGCTGAGAAGTATCCGTCTTCGTCCTGCCAAGTTCTTGTGATTTTTGGTATGCTCCACTGTCTAGGTAACTGTTCTGGGGCATCAGAATTTCCCACAAAACTGATACGATTCACCGAGGCAAAGTTCGCTCTGTACAAGGAGGACGAGGAAGCATGTCTTGCTATGTTCTTGGACCCACGCTTCAAGTCCACTACTTTTAAAGCTGAAAATAAAAACAATAAATAAAAATATTATGGCTAAAAGTTCTGGTGCTGCAAGAGCTAGCCTCATGTGATGCTATGCGGAGGGCAAGTTCGTCTGCTTCTTGCGCAGGGGGTAGCGGTGACGTCAGAACGCCGAGCCCTGATCGGCTGATCGCGGCCCCCTCTCTGAGCGTCGTCTGCTCCTTTGCAACGTCGTCTGCTCGCAACGTCGTCTGCGTCTGTCTTACCTTTCCTGCGACTTGTCTTATAAGACAATTTCGTTGCGTGAATACGAATTTGTTCTTAAGTTTTGTCTTGCGCACATTTTTGGCGTATACGCCAAAAATGTGCGCAAGACAAAACTTAAGAACAAATTCGTATTCACGCAACGAAATTTTCGTAAGTTTTGCGCAGGTTACGACCAAATTCTACGACAGCTCCGAAGCTGTCTTACGCACTTCTTACGATCAAATCAGCATGGCCGACAGCGTCGCGGTCGCGACGACCCACGGACGTTTATTTTTCTACGTGCGCTTCTCACGCGTCCCGACTTCAAGCAGCAAGAAAAAAGTAAAACGTACTTGAAACAGACCACGACGAACAAGAACGATGGATCCACAAACACCCGGTAAAAGCTCCGACGGCCACGATTCCACCGAACGCGACCAAGCGAGCACGGCAGTTAGGCCTAGCAGGCACTCCGCGACTCGGCGACCGTCTGCCCACGACCGGCTGGCGTGCTGAATGGAATATGCCCGCGCGAGCCTTGTGAACCCTTCCCGTATTATACTTTGATCGCCGACCTCAATTTTAGATTAAGAGGTCAATATCTTCCTCTTGTTATCTCCTTGTTTCCCGAGGTTGCGGTGACTCTCGTCGGTGAAAAAGCGGTGAATCTCCGACAGACGCAGGAAAGCTAAAGCAGCCATCGCTTTGACTAGCAGACGTAAAGCAGACGGCGTTATAACTGCGCCAACCCGCCGACGCCGTTAAAGAATCAGGGGTCTCGCCGCACACGAAAGGAAGGAAAATGTATTTGAGAGGGAACTTGCGGACACTAACACGCTCACCTCTCGGTTCTTAGCAAACAAACCTTGGCGGCTCGGGACACCTCGCGAGTGAGTCCTTTGACTTCCCTCCTTGATGCGCGTCTGCTAGTTGTTAAACAAAAACAACAAACCACTCGAGTTATTTCGTCTGCCCTCTCTGAAAGACGAAGTCGAGCTCGCTCGTAAAGACCTGCACTTCCGAAAGTCGCATGAAAGGTAAGACAGACGCAGATGACGTTGCGAGCAGACGACGTTGCAAAGGAGCAGACGACGCTGAGATAGGGGGTCGCGATCAGCCAATCAGGGCTCGGCGTTCTGACGTCACCGCTACTTCCTTTCTCATGCGCAGAAGACGAAAATGAGCCCACTTGCGAGGCGTATACTGATGAAACCCAGCCGGAAGCTGGAACAGAGTTACAAGAGCAAGGCTCAACGCCGTCAGTAATGTTTGGCAAGCATTTGACCACTTAGCCAAAAGGGCAATTGAAAGCAAAGTGGTTTAGCTTTAGAATGGGAAGTTGTAGCGTATGAGGAGGAGGCACTGCTAAATAGAGAGTGATCCGTGTGAGTGGTGGCGAACTGTCGGGTGTTAAAGATATCCGAGTCTGGTGAAACTTTGCATCAAAATACCTGGCAATACCGGCTACTTCAGTACCGAGTGAGAGAGTTTTTTCTGTGGCCAGAGGTGTAGTTTCCGCTCGAAGGGAGTGCCTCCTACCTAACCATGTGCAGCAGTTGATTTTTCCGCATGACAACTTGTGACCTTCCCTACAACTGGAACTTTCGTTTTCGTGTTTTTATTTTCGTTAACACTAGTGCCTCACTTGTGTTACGAGAATAATTACACAAAAACAAAATTTTAGTTCTAAGGAAGATCACAAGTTGTCATACAGAACAAAAAAAAATCATCTACAGTTCTGCAGTTCGAAAATAAAAAAAAAATGAAAAGAAAAATTAAATGCAGTTCCGACATGTGAAAATAAAAATGCAGTGAAGAAACGCACCTGGCTTCGCCTATTCGATATTCGATTCGATATTTGAAGCTAACTATTTCTATTCGATTTGTATTCGAAATTATTATTATTCGCACACCCCTACTTTTTATAGTTCGGCTGTCATCTGGCACCTTCGGTCCAAAATCGCCACAGATATGCCAGAGTTAAGCTTACAGCCTTGTAGTTCGACTGACATCAATTATCTTTGGGCCCAAGTCGCCAAACAAGTGCCAAAGTTAGGCTTCGCTTCCTGATAGTTCGGCTGCCATCTGGCAGATGCGGTCCAAAATCCCTAGACAGGTGTCAGAACTAGGCTTACTGTCTTGCAGTTCGGCTGATGAGGTAATAGATGTACGCGGGTGGTCTGCAAGTTAATTAAATAGAAATCAAGTTTTATTCTGCTCGCATCTTTTGATTTTATTTAGTGTGTTTCTTGATTTCTCCATGACAAAGGTGGGCTGAATGTTTTGCCGCGGCTGAAGCAGGCTTTGCAAACGCAGATTTCGCCAAATTGTTGTGTTCGCGCGTAGGTACGCATTCCAATATCGGGGCGTGCAGTGAGAATAGTACGACGTTGCAGAAACTGCTGCCGTCGAGCAATTGCTGCGCGAGACTGATATTCGGATGTCTCTTCGGCAGATACCTATATTAGGCAGCGCATTGCAAAAGCGAGCGTAGCTCTGTGCGTCTGTTGCCTTGCGATTGAGCACAGCTAAATCCTAGCGATAAGAAAAAGCGAGAGCGGCAGCGCCTCTGTGGTATTGCGCCCGCTTCCCACTGGGGGAACTAAGATATAATCCTGGCGGGGTCGATTTTTTTTAAAAGCTAATTTGAAGCATTTGACAGCGTCAACCCAGACACTCCTTTCTCTCACTGTCTTTCACATCCCTCCCCCCCCCCCCCCCACCTCCTCACCTTACTAAAGGTGACATTCCAAGCCCCGGGTACAAGGCATGGAATGTCTTCACTTTCAGTCAAAAATCCAGAGGGAGCTCGGCAACATTCTTCGTGCCCCTTCGGCCTCGCCTTTTCTTAAGCCTCCACACCTGCTTTTGTGTCTTCGTGTGGCTGTCAGCGAGCGCGACGGCCGCGTTAAGCGAATGACAAGGGTGTAGCGAAACGCGTGACCTCACTTCGTGGGATGCGTAGTACAAAAACGCTTGGACGAAAATTTGTCACGTAACACTCTCGGCCGCGCTGAAGGGACCCCTGGGGATGTTGTTTGCGCCGTTTGCCAAGTTATAGAAATAGGCGGGCTACGTAGATTCGGTTTTCGAAATGCACTCTTCAGTGTTCTGTTTCTTTCGCGCGTTGCAGACGCGGCCGTGCTTTTTGGTTGTAGACGGTCGGAATACGTCCATGTCAATATTTCCGTAATGTCCATTTTTTTCGCGGAGTCCTTGGACTTCTCTTGCTGTGTTTGTTGGACGCGCTTCGACAAAAATTGCTCCTCGCCGACGATAAGACCTCAGTTGAATTTGCGCAACCTTCTTTCTCATCCTTCTTTTTGGGCTGCCCGAGTCGGATTACGCATCTATCAAGGATTACATGTTTTCGATTTTATTAGTGAGTACAATACAAGCATGCTTCTGATAGTAGTTCTGATTTCCTCTCAAACTACGTGATGTTTTGTGTTTTAATTTATGAGGTTTGCTTGGCACGAAATTAGTGTTGATTATATTTTACAATTTGGTTTTCATTTCCAGAGAAATATGATTTTTGTAAATTTGTCGAGTATTAGCTGTGTGTAATGATGGTGATTGAATAAACTTCTGGGGGTGTTCAAAACACTTCGTTCGTCCGTGTTTGCTATTGAAATGCCAGAAATAATATGCAGCGTCCTGTACAACACAGGCTTGCTAGACGTCCGTCCAATACGGACCACAGGCATCGTGAGTATTCGCACGATATCGCGCGAACACTAGGCCGGGGCGAAACGACTGTACGGGAATACTTGCCGAACATCAAAGGGTGGTGCAAAACTAGATATTTGAGCGATATTGGAATTGACTTTCAGCCGGTACTGGCACTACACTGCCAAGTATCGCCGTGCTGCTTGGGAACGCAGATAGTGAGGTCTGACCATCGTGTTTCCAACGCTTATTTAATTAAAATTTTCTTCTGGAGTGCGTGAAAGAGAACTTTTGTGTCACACCAGAGAAATTCCAGACTTCGGCAGATCTTTGGGCTTTCTTTGGCACTTTTGGCACTTCTTTGGCACTTCAGTGGCTAGCCAGAGAAGAGCCAAACTTCGGCATGCCCCGAATTCCAAAATTAGGAATTACTTCGGCAGTTATGGCTCAAGTCTGGAACTTAATTTGGCACAACTGTGGCGGACCAGAGAAAAGCCAAACTTTGGCTTATCCCAAAAATGCCCAAATTTGGCGTTGCCTTGGCAGGTGTGGCTCCAGTATGGCACTTACTTCGGCACTCTTGTGGTAGACTAGAAAAAGGCCGAACTTTGGCGTGTCCGAAATACCCAAATTAGGCGTTGCTTTGGCAGTTATAGCTCCAGTATGGCACTTAATTCGGCACTCCTGTGGCCGACCAGAGAAAGGCCAAATTTTGGCATGTCCGAAATACCCAAATTAGGCGTTGCCCCGGCCGTTATGGCTCAAGTATGGCACTACTCCGGTACTCCTGTGGCGGACCAGAGAACAGTCGAAGTTTAGCATGTCCGAAATACCGAAATTAGGTGGTGCTCTGGCAGTTATGGCTCAAGTATGGCACTACTCCTGCACTCCTGTAGCGGACTAGAGAAGAGTCAATCTTTGGCATGCCCTAGTATCGCCCAACTTGGGCTATAGTCAGGCAGCGTACATTGGCAGTGATCAACTCCATGGTGCAAAACCTAACTGGGCCAAAGTTCGGCCCTTACATTTGCCAGACCTCTGCCCAAGTTGTGCATTTCGCTGACGTGCTACCTGGGATAAAGAAAAACAAAAAGTAAGCACACACGGTTAGGGTGTTGAGCCGTCTGCACGCCAAGTTGTTTAGCGAAGAATTACCACGCATCATTAAACGTGCTTCACAGAAAAGTCACTACGGGGATGAGCTGAGCTAGTTGTTTATTATACATTGCGGGTGGAACCAGCAGACCAAGGAAGGATGGAGGATCAGAAAAGACAACCAAGTACACGTGAATATGTAGCCAACCTGAAAAACCTCGTGGGACCAGGACACCTTGCTTTTCATTGTCGAACTTGCAATTGCAAAGCAAAGTTCGCATGATAAGGCACCATAACATCCAGCTGGCAAGGAAAATGCTGGAGGCATTGGCAATAGAAGAAAAAGAAAACTGTGTGAGCACCGCCTCAATAACCCTGCAACCCCAAGAAAAGCTCTTTCTACAAAGCGCCCTTCCCCCTGAGTAGATATAGAAGGAAGGGTGTCGGTAACATGATTCAGTGTAAAGAAAGAAAGAAAAAAGCCGAAGCAAAAGGATACGCCAAGAACCTGTAGACGAGGGGGACGATTTATAAAAATAGTTGGTACTGCAGCGGTCGATTGTCTTTTCTCGTTCTCCTCCCTTCCTTGTGCAGCTGGTTCCACCCGTGATTTAGAGAAGTGGTACATGAAATCACAATGTGCTGAGAGCACATTTGCTATTAGAAGTACTTTCTGACTTATTTTTGTGCTTTCGTACTGGGACGTACAAAATTCGTACATCCCAGTATGGGTTTCGTAAAAATGAGACCACTAAACCTTTGCTGCAGGATTTTACAGGTTATGTCAGCTGCAGTCTAGACAATAATGTTTTTTTCCGTTAGCATTTTTTTCTGGATTTGCCAAAAGCTTCTGAAACAATTATTCATAAAAAGCCCAAGTCGTGTGGGTTTTAGGGGGTCTTTCAATACATTTCTGCAGGACTACATTGCAGACAAATATCAGTTCGTTAAAATAGGAGGCTGTAGAAGTAACGTAATACTTATTAAATCGGAAGTACTACAGGGATCAACAATACGACCATTACTGTTTAATATTTACGTAAATCAAATTGGAGCACTGCCTTTTGAATCTCGAGTATATCAATATGAAGGTGATACAGCCCTAGTACTGGAAAGTAGTGACGAAACGAGCGCACATTAAAATATAGCACTCAGTCTGAAATACATCCGAAATGATGAATTCAAGTTTTAATATTGCTTACAAAAAAGCGAGTTGCTGAGCGAAGTTATGGACGCCACTGAAGGTTTTTCCGTTGTCGTGAATAAACGCCACGCTTTCATGTTCGCAAAATCTGCCTTTCAGGGGCAGACCTATAAGGTAAACGAAAGTTTAAAATGCTGCGAGTAGTTGAATACGCTATTTCACATAGCTTCTCGTCATGAAAGTAAAATCATGAGCAGCACAATTATAAGCTCTTATTAAATCCTGACTTCCTATACCGGGTGTTTCAGCGAAGTCTTTTAAACATCACTTAAAATACGGTGGTTGTGAAAAAAATAAACTTTTTATGGGAACGAATTGCCAGCCACGGGACGGCGGGCGTTAGAAATTAAAAAAACGTAGTAAATTAAATCTTACTTTTTTATAGTAAATGGTTCTAACGTAATTGGAACCACAATATAGTACCATTTAAAAACCTGCTGAACATCGTCCAACACCTATAAGTCCAACACAATTTAAATATATCTGTAAAACAAACCCACCAATTTGCGCCATCAAAAAAACAAACAAAAAAACACGCTCAATTTGAACGCGTGTTTAGGTTTAGGTTTCCTTTCGGAGCACAGTTTAGCCCAGCGGTCCCCCCTGTGCTTAAAAAGCTTTTATATATCGGATATTTGACAATACAGCGGTAAAGTGCTACAGACCCGGAGAATATAAACTGAATCACATGGTCTGGACGTTTGCTATGCCCGCAGTTTCCACAACCTCCATTATCTCTGAATTTGAGAAAAAGTTTAAAGATTCATCTTGAGAATTGGAAACAGCGCAAAAGAGGAGGAGTAAAAGAAGTGCACGGACACAGGGCTGACTATCAACTGAAACTTTAATTTTCAAGCGAACCAGAAAATAAACACCGAAAGCAGAGAGGAAAGGACGAAACAAGACACAAAAATGCAACCCGATAGACGAGACGTCGACTACGTCATATCGCTTTCACATATGCCTGCCACTGTTCTTGATAACAACTACTTCGTCATCACCGAAGTGCGCCGGCGGTGCGCTAACACATTCCCCTCCCCCTTTCGATGAAATGAAGAAAAGGCCTCTTGAGTTTCTCTGGCGGTATTGTTTTTGTTACGCGCCTTGATCGTCAAGTCATTGGATAAACGCACGCAGCCGCAGCCACTGCCATGTATCGCTGTGTGGCCAGCGGGGGAGGAACGGGGAGCAAGGAAATGCTCCCTTACCCTTCCGTTCACGCACGTCCCTGTTTGTCCAATGTGTACCCTACCACATGTGAAGGGGATCCGGTACACAACCCGGGACAAAAGGAGTGCGCTGGTTAACATCAGAATGGGAATCACCGCTACTCCCTCGGGCAACAGCAGAGCACAGCCGTGACAACTTCTAGGGTGCTGAAAGCACCACTGGCACGTTGTACTTGTAAGCCACTCGCTTAGCCTGATGGGAGGAGCGTGGACATAAGTCACTGCCACCGGTCTGGCTTTCGTTCTTTTTTAATTTAAGGACTCGTCTCGACCCTTAAGACTTGGCGTGCTTTAAGGAGTGCTCCCCCGGGTTATCCTTTAAGTTCGAGACACCCACAGTTTTTGGACGTGAGGCTTACTATTCAGCCGTCACAACATACTAGTTGGTACTATGAGCCACGTTCATTGAAGGGGGTTCTGCTATACGGTTCAGCGCATTCTAAGCTGGTGAAGTGGGCGATTACTACGTCATGTACGCGATCTTCTCTGTTGAATTAAGTCATGCCACCATAGGTGTGAGGACAGTCTATATTGTTTCAGGTGTCTAGGCTGACATGGCGGGATGCCCTATGACGTTGATAGTGGGTGTAACAGAGTCCCTCGTAAAGGTGCTTAGGGGTCGACCTAGTCACAGGGTTAGACAAAAACCGAAAACCAGACCGTTGGTGGAGCCTTATGCCCACGCCCTCTCCCAGCAGGTTAAGCTAATGGCTTGTAAGAATGACGTGCCAGTGGTGTTTTTGAGCACCCCGGAATTTGTCGCGACTGTGCTCTGCTGTTAACTGAGGGGGTACCATTGATTTCCATTATGATGTTAACAACCGCACTCCTTTTTCCCCACGCGCACCGGGGGTTGTGTATCAGATCCCCTTTACATGCGGTAGGGTATACATCGGACAAACGGGGAGGTGCGTGAACGTGAGAGCAGGCTGCATTCTCTTGCTCTCCATTCGTCCCCCACTGGCCACTTAGCGGAACATCGCAGTAGGCTCGGCTTCGTGCCTTTATTCAATGACTTGGCAATCTTGGCGTGTAACAAAATAAAGACCGGCAGAGAGAATGTAGAGGCCTTTTTATTTTATCAAAAGGGAGGGGGAATGTGTTAGCGCAGTGTCGGTGCCCTTAGAGGATGACGATGTCCTTTTTACCGAGAACAGTGGCAGGCACGTGTGAAAGAGATATGACGTAGTCGAAGTCTTCTATATCGGGTTTTAATTTTGTGTCTTTATTGGTTCTTTCCTCTCTGCTTTTGGTGTTTATTTTTTGGTTCCCTTGAAAATAAAACTTTCAGTTGACAGCCAGCGCTGTGTCCGTGCACTTCTTTTACTCTTCCTTTTTGTGTATTTTGCGATGTTTCAATCTTTGAAGATGTTCAACCAACTGGCTCAACTTACCGCCTATTCAAAGATTCAGTCCTAAGCTCCGCGTTCATAGTCAAGTTTGAAGAAAATCTTCTTTAAAAGCTGACAGCAGAGCCAAAGAAGCATGGAGCGCTGTTTCAGGTCATATTGCGGGCTGTAGTACTTCATTATATCTTTCTAAAATTACTTGATTAGGTGGTTTTCTAGGATGGTCTAGGAGATTTCAATTAAGACCATTTGTTAAGTTTCACTAATGAGAAATTATTGAGTAAATTTTAATTAACTGTTTATACAAGTAGTAAATTTTTGCAATCCTTGATGTCGGCTGTGGCTGGCAATTCCTTCCCAGAAAGAGTGTTTTTTTTTTTTTTTTTTTTTATGCGAAAGCATGAGTTGACTCACGTAGTGAACTGGCGTTATCCGCTTTTGAAATCGCGCCAAACGGCACCAAAACTTCCTTGTCCCTATGGAGCAAAGCCTGTCGTTTCTAGCAGTGATTTGATTAATAGGTTCCCATTGACTGGCGCGCGTCCTAGTCTCAAGGAACGATTCTCCCATGGGCTCTCGCATGGCGTAGTTCCAAGGAACGCCACCAGTGAAGCCAGGGCGGCGCAGCGGCCCGGCCTTTAATAAGAGGGAGTGGCTGGTCGCAGATCCAGCGGAGTGCAGACTCCGGAGAGGCTGCACGACCAAGCTTAGCCCGGCGCGGCCACCTCATGAGGGCGCTCACTCGGCCGTCGGCCGCAACCTCGGCAGTACCGAAACGTGACCGTCCACGCCAGCACGCCGCAGACCAACTAAGGGAGAGGATGAACGTCATTCATGCATTCGCATTTAAAACTCATCAGTGCTTAGGTGTCCTCGGAATTTGTTTCTTGTAATACACCAAATTTTTAGCGATTCTTGAAAGTCTTCGCTCGAACACGCGGTATATAGTGTCTGCGGCACGATCTTGTATATTGTGAACTATGTTAGCATCGTGAACAGTACAGCTCACAAAAAGACAACGACAAGGAAAATGAACCCGCAGGACACTCGGCGCTCGGCTGTTGTGCATGCTCTTTTTCTTTGTTCTTGTCTTTTTGTGTGTTGAACTGTTCACCATGTCATCATACCAACTCGTCCAGCTTACCACGCTTCTGCATATTAGCGCTCTCGACAGCAATTTTCAGTAGCTATATATCTTTTGCTATCCGTAGGACGTATATTGTGCCACATATAGGACAACCGGACATCGAGAGTAATTCTCAATCTAAATATAGCTAGTTGTGGAATTTCCTAAATCAATAATACGTCATCATTGATTATAAACTATTCCATTGTACCTTTAATTTGGTAAAGAGACAGATTTTTCACGTTCTTGTAAATGCATCTTACAATTTAATAGGTTGAAGTATTTTAGCTTGCATGTTTTTTCGTTGGCTTACACGCTTTTACTATAGGTTTGGATAAATAACTTCACATGGCGAAATTTCCTTCATATTTTCGTGCGGAGTTCAAATTGCTTTGTGTCGTTCGCCAATTATGCGGTTCATTCATTCAGAACTTTGTACTATTTGCGACTTCAAGAATATCACAAAGGCATTGATAATAAATGAACGTGTACTTGCCGTGCCATGTCCCATCGTGATTTATGAGGTGGGTGTCTACAGAATTCCTGATAGAAAGACCAACGTTTTGTGTATATTATTAAGAAAAAGTTCAAGAGCAGTCCTGCGTTATTCTACAATACAGTCAACGTGATAGCTGTGACACGCCACGGCGAAGTCGTCGGGCATCGGCGCCGCGTTCACGCACCGTAAGGCAACCGTGGGGCGTGTGGTCATCTGACCAGTTTATTTTGAAATCTTTTTCTTTCTTTTTGTTCAGGAGCATGTGAAAGCGCGTCTTCTGGCACGAGCTCTTGGCATTGGCAGTGCTATGAGGGCTATAACAGTGTTACGGCGGCATTTTGTTAACGGCTGTTTCTTTGTATTTCTTCAAAAAATTGCGTTTAGTGGGCATCGGGTACTACAAAAACCCTATATATACAATGGGCGTTTAACACTGTAGCGTAGCTCTACAATAAATATAAGAAAGAGCTGTGCCGTAGCTCTTTGGTCGCGCCTCCGCTTCGTACGCAGCGGACCCAGTTTCGAATTCCGCGGTAGGAGGGCGGTCTTTTTTCAAGGAATTGTCCGCATCGACGACGGACACGCTACCCGACCTACTACGAAGACAACATCAACAATTACAACGGACTTCATTTCCAGTGGTGGTGAACCCATATATCGCGGTAAGATGAATAACAGCACTTTAGCGCACATGCACAAAGTTGCAACCAGTAATTACAAATAAACGTTGATAAGGCACCGTTTCTAGGCAAATATATAAAGTAAATAAACTGTTCCTTTATCGTGCGATTCCTGGAGTTAAAGAGAGTCGGTTGCATTCATATAGTAGATCAGCTTGACTAAGTTTAAAATCAATTTCCTTTTTCTTTTTTTTTGAAAAAAAAAAAAAAAAAAAAGCTGAAATTTTTTTTAGAATTGGAGTGCGACGCGAACGCCATCGCGTTAAACTCCGACACTGCCTTAACGGCATGAGCACAGTCCACCGAAAACGAATATGAAAATCCCCCGCGTTATCTAGAGTTACTGAGCTTTCTGCTGTGGCCTTTTGGAGCACTGCTTACATCTTCTATTTTAATATGTGTCCTGCAGTTTCAACCCATCTTTTGGGTTATATCAGTTCAGAACAAAAATTGGCTGCACAAAGGGGTAGGGGGGGGGGGGCAGAGCCTTTCCCCCCCTACCCCGGGTCATAATCCTTACCAAGACGCGTTTACGTGCCATGTAACGAGCTTCTGGTAGTGGCATGTAAACAGAATAACGCCCACGTTGCCTTTATTGACAAAATACATGAGAAATGGAATCCCAAGGTGCTTTCGTTAGCTTCAATCTACAGTTCTGGCGAGGAGGTAACGCGGCATCGATCACTTTTACGTTTCCTTGGTCTGCTTCCACAGCAACCTGGCATTTTCCGATGTCCCACCAGAAAAAAAAAAAGAAGATATATAAAGTAATCGGAAGTTCATATAGAGGGCGCCATACTGCGTCCAGAACTGTTCCAAAAGTCCGTTTAGTAACGACTCCGACGCAGTTACCCGAACCGGAGTCGTGGAGTCACAACTTAACGCCCCCAATGAAGCGATGGATGATGCAGTCGTCCGCGAAGAGCCGCATGCGTGAGAAAAGCGTAGCCGGGTGACACGACTACGCTTGCGCGGGGATTGCCATTGACACACAACGGCGGACACATGGCTATATACAAACGCTGTAAAATGTTCCCCCTAAAATAAACTGCTCATAATTGCCGGTGTAAAAAAAATTGCGCGCAAAGCACCCCCCCCCCCCCCCCCCGGAAGACTTCTCAGCCTGCCCCCCCCCGCCTCCCCGCCCCCCGGCCCCCTGGGAAAATGGAAAGTCTACGCCGCTGGTGACGATAGATTTTTATTGCTCCTGCCTTTCCCACAAAGAGCACGGAACTTTCTTCTGTATATGAAAGTGTTTGTTTTAAGCTTGTTAACTCTACCGGGCAATGTCGAGGAAAACCCTAGCCCTGACACTTATATGGCTATCATTCTACAGCAACTACAGAATGGCCAAATTGCTAGGTTGAGTAAGCTAGATGACATGGAAAAAGACAAACGAGGTTGGACAGCATGATTAGTGACTTTGTAACTAGAATAACATCATTAGAATCTAGAATGCAAACTTGTGAGCATGCAGATCATGACATGGCACGAGTATCTAACAAGGTCCAGATCTTGTCAGAAACTACAGATGATATGGTTAAGAAACTAAATGACTTGGAAAAGCGTGGTAGGTGAAACCTTGTGTTTTATGGAATTGAAGATCGGGAACAACGCGAGTGTTGGAGAATCGTCTGAGAACCTGATTAGGAGCCTCTGCCAGGAAAGATTGCAGATAACTGTCAGTGAAATTCAGAGGGCCCACAAGATCGCGAAGTATCGACCTAACCACACCCGTCCGATGATAGAAAATTTTGCGTCTTACAAGGACACTGAAAAAAATCTTAGTGATGGTAGGAAACTGAAAGGCAGTAATTACGGAGTCTCCAGATATTTTTCACCTCGTGTCAGGAAAATACGACGTCGGCCATAGACGGTTGGCAAAGAACGAAAACAAAACGGCCAGGACAGTGTATCGCTGGTACATGATAGGCTATTCATAAATGGGGACGCCTATGGACGGGATGACATCACACAATCTGTAAAAAAAACTGAATAAGCAATGACGACCTGTGTCCGCTTTGAAAACCGTGACAGAATGCAGCGTCCTCCTGATCAACTGTCAAAGCATAAAAAATAAAATTGATGACTTCAATGGGCTGCTGCAGATTTTTAATCCCGATCTCGTGTTTACAACAGAGTCATGGTTGGTCTCTTCAATTCAAAATACCAAAATATTTCTGTGTGATTATCGCGTCTACGGAAACGATCGAAATTCGCGTGGGGGAGGGGTATTTATTATGGTCAAAGAATCGTTGCATAGTACAGAAATCGATATTCAATGCAACGACGCAGAATCTGTACAGTGTCCACTAAGTACTCCAAAAATGGGTACCATGGCAATATGTTCTTTTTATCGTCGTCCTGGAGCCAGTGTTGGGGCTGTCAGTTCATTAGTGTCTATATTGTCCACTCTTCTTGACGATTGAGTTATTTTATCTGTCGATTTTAATTTGTTGTATTGAAGATGGGACGGAAGTAGACAATCTAGTGGTGTTTCGTCAGCATTCCTAGATGTAACCAGTACGTTTGGCCTTAAGCAGTACGTTTTGTCCGCCACTAGAGGATCCAATATTTTCGATTTAATGCTATGTAATGACACAAATGTGGTTCAATTTGTGAGTGTTCTACCGGGAATGAGCGATCATAAGATAGTTACCGCCAGGTTCATCCTGGCCCAATTAATCCCTGGCAACCACGGTATTAAAAAAGCGTACGTGTACAGTAAGGTCAATTACAATGAAAGTATAAATAGACTAGAGGTCGAACTGTACAATTTTATGGCTAAGTCATCGACTTATGATGCCGACTCACTGTGGACTGATTTTGGAATTATGCTCTCAAAGCTTGTTGATAAACACATGTCTTGTAAACTTCTGAAGGACAAGACAAAACCCGATAAGCCCTGGATGAATTATAAAGTAAAAACAAAATAGCTAAACAACGCTAACGTTTGCATACCAAGTTAAAAAAAATCCTTCTGAAAACCTTGAGAGGCGTCTTAAAGAGCTAGATTTAGTTTATAAGAGTACCATAACTACGGTAAAGGAAGAGTATTTTTCTGGTTTGGCAAAGGTTATCAGCACCAACTCCAAAGCATTCTGGAGTTACCTTAAGAAAACACGGAAAGAAAAAACACGAGTCCCGAGCATTACAAAATAGTGGTACAGTGATAACCGACAATGCTATTAAAGCTAACTGTTTTAATTACTATTTTCAGTCGGTATTTCTTAAAAACTGTAGCTATCAAAATTCGCCGATTCTTACAGATACGGTAGAAAATGCCATGACTCCCGTCATAACCCCACCAGAGGGAATAAGAAATTGTTTAAACTCCTTAAAAGAAGACACGGCAATCGGTCCAGACGGGATGTGATTAAGGTAATAAGCGCTGCTCGCGTATAGTGTCTAAATACTTTTATGTAATTGTATACCATGTAAAATGTTTGAACATATTGTATATAGCAGCGTAATTAGGCACTTAGAAGATAATTTTTTTTTTTGTCCTAACCAATACGGCTTTTGTAGAGGAGTCTCTGCAACACCCAATGAATTGAACTTTTTCATGATTTGGTCAGCAACGCCGAAAATAGGCAGCAAACTGCTGAAATTTTTATAGACTTTTGTAAAACATTTGATTCTGTTTCACACCAATTGTTGCAAAAAATGAGTGCTCTAAACAAGGACAGTAATGTGTTTTTTTTATTGACAAGGACAGCAATGTACTTCGGTGGGTGGAAAACTATCTGAGCGAAAGGAAGCAGTGCGTTGTACTGGGGGGTAAGAAATCCAAATTTGTAGACGTAACTTCTGAGGTACCTCACATCAGTGATTTAGCGTCTTTCATATCTTCTAACATCAGATTATTCGCGGACGATTGCGTAACTTACAGTGCAAAAATAATGTTAATGACCTGTCGTTTTTGCAGGAGGATTTGAAACGGGTTAGTTCGAGGTTCAAAACCTTTTGAATTGGGATTAAACACAAGTAAACGCTTTCACATCACATTTTGTAAAAAGAAACAGAATATTGATTCCGCATACGCTATTGGAAGAGACTCGTAGCGAGAAGTATCCGAAATAAAATATCTCGGTGTCATTCTTTGAGAAGACCTGTCATTCAATCAACACATAGATATGATATTGAAAAAAGCTGGAACGGTCCTTAGCCTAGTCATCTGCAACTTTCGTAATGCTCCTCAAATCCTAAAAGAACCTGCGTATCGTTCACTAGTTAGACCACACCTCGAATATACAAGTGCAGTATAGGATCCGCATCAAAAATATCTCATAAATAATTTAGAGGGCACTCAAAATCATGATCTTAGATTTATTGTAAATAACTCTTCTCGAGCAGAAAGTGAG